TATATTTTTTTCTTCTCCCAGCTGGAATCTTGAAAGTCACGTGACTAGGACGTAAAACAATAGAAAGCGTATAGGCAGAAGAAACGTAACAGTACCAAAAAAAAAATGGCCATTAATGTACCTCCACTACGTTTTGCAGTGTGGACCAACGTAGTGGGGGTTTATTTTCCCATGAGACTGGGTTGGTGACACACACACAGATATGCTAAGCTAATTTGAACATAACTGAAATAAAGAGATTTATTAATGTTGATTTTCAATTCTAAACTTTAATGCTGATTAGATTGTTGGCTGGAACATTGAACATCTGAACGCTGAACTTTTACTCCGGTGAACTAGAATCCACTGTGATCATTGATCAGCTCATGGTCGAATGAAATCTGCCCGGTAACTGTCGGGGAGGACGGAATGGTGCTGATGTCTATCCATTTCCTTTTAGTCCAGTTCTTACATCCATCATACCTGACAGGAGTGGCGGCTAAACGCTGAAAGCAGTGGTCGCGGTCGATGATGTCCTCTCTAAGTTCTTCCCAAAAGCATGGAGCCATGGAAAGATTCAATAAAATTATATTTCTGATAATTTAGGAATTTTACATATTTTTGACTTAATTTAAGTTAAAACTGCAGTTTTCTATAAAATGTGAATAAGCATCTCCCTGAAATTACTTTTTGGAACTTGGGATGTCTGCATGGAGACGAGGCTGGCATGATAGGTGAGCAGAACAGAATAACAGACTAAAGAGTGAAATACTGGAATCTACTTCAATTCTACCACAAACTGTTTATATATGCTGTAATAATTGTAACCCCCGGTAACAATATACACTAAACCTAATCTACCTCCTAATCTCCTTGCCGCCGTGTTAGCAGCTGTACTAGCCGCTGTGTTAGCCGCTGTACTATCCTCTGTGTTAGCTGCAGTGTTAGTCGCTGTACTAGCCCCTGTGTTAGCCGCTGTACTAGCCCCTGTGTTAGCCACTGTTTTAGCCACTGTTAGCCGCTGTACTATCCTCTGTGTTAGCCGCTGTGTTAGCCACTGTGTTAGCTGCTATACTAGCTGTACTAGCCACTTTATTAGCCACTGTGTTAGCCACTGTACTAGCCTCTGTGTTAGCCACTGTGTTAGCTGCTGTACTAGCCCGTGTGTTAGCTGCTGTGTTAGCCACTGTTTTAGGCGCTGTTAGCTGCTGTACTAGCCACTGTATTAGCCGCTGTGTTAGCGACACTACTAGCCGCTGTGTTAGCCGCTGTACTATCCTCTGTGTTAGCTGCTGTGTTAGCCACTGTGTTAGCCGCTGTACTATCCCTTGTGTTAGCCACTGTGTTAGCCGCTGTGTTAGCTGCTGTACTAGCCACTGTATTAGCTGCTGTGTTAGCCACTTAACTAGCCACTGTGTTAGCCGCTGTACTATCCTCTGTGTTAGCCGCTGTACTAGCTCCTGTGTTAGCTGCTGTGTTAGCCGCTTTACTAGCCCCTGTGTTAGCCACTGTTTTAGCAGCTGTGTTAGCTGCTGTTCTAGCCACTGTATTAGCCACTGTGTTAGCGACACAACTAGCCACTGTGTTAGCCGCTGTACTATCCCCTGTGTTAGCTGGTGTGTTAGCCACTCATTTAGCCACTGTGTTAGCTGCTATACTAGCTGTACTAGCCACTTTATTAGCCGCTGTCTTAGCCACTATACTAGCTGATGTGTTAGCCACTTTAGTAGCCTCTGTGTTAGCCGCTGTACTTGCCACTGTATTAGCTGTTGTGTTAGCCACTGTACTAGCCACTGTGTTAGCCGCTATACTATCCCCTGTGTTAGCTGCTGTGTTAGCAACCGTACTAGCCGCTGTGTTAGCCACTGTACTAGTCGCTGTGTTAGGCGCAGTGTTAGGCGCTGTGTTAGCCCGTGCATTAGCCACTGTACTAGCCGCTGTGTTAGCTGCTCCATTAGCCGCTTTACTAGCCACTGTGTTAGCTGATGTACTAGCCACTCTATTAGCCGCTGAGTTAGCTGCTGAATTAGACACTGTGTTAGCCCCTGTACTAGCCACTAGGTTAGTCTCTGTGTTAGCCACTGTTTTAGTCACTGTACTAGCCACTGTGTTACAATGGCTAACACAGCCACTGCTCTAGCCGATGTGTTAGCCGCAGTTTTAGCCGCTTTAATAGCCACTGTGTTAGGCGCTGTACTAGCCACTGTGTTAGCCGCTGAGTTAGCCACTGTGTTAGCTGCTGTATTAGCCACTGTGTTAGCCCCTGTACTATCCGCTGTTTTAGTCACTGTACTAGCCGCTGTGTTAGCAGCTAGACTAGCCACTGTGTTAGCCGCAGTGTTAGTTGCTGTACTAGCCACTGTGTTAGCCTCTATACTAGCCACTGTGTTAGCCAAAAAAAATATTTTCAGTTCAATGCATTTCAAAGCTAAACACTCCTTTCTTAACTTTAAATTCTGTTTAATTCATTATGTTAAAGAAATATAAAAACATCACAAAAATTTTCCGTCACGCTTTATCCCAGCTGGGGTGATCTGGGGTACTGGTGTCTATCTCCATCAGTCTGTGGGTGAAAGGCGGGGTCCATCCTGGACAGAGAGGCGGGGTCCATCCTGGACAGAGAGGCGGGGTCCATCCTGGACAGAGAGGCGGGGTCCAGCCTGGACAGAGAGGCGGGGTCCAGCCTGGACAGAGAGGCGGGGTCCATCCTGGACAGAGAGGCGGGGTCCAGCCTGGACAGGTCTCCAGTCCATTGCAGGGCAACACAGAGACAAACAGGACAAACAACCATTTACACACACACTCACACCTAAGGAGGATTTAAAGAAGCCATTGAACCTAACAGTCATGTTGTTGGACTGTAGGAGGAAGCTGGAGAGAAGAGAGAACCAGAACCAGAGAGAACCCATGCATGCTCAGGGAGAACATGCATACTCCATGTAGAAAGACCCCGGGCCGGGAATCAAACCCAAAACCATCATGCTGCAAGGCAGCAGCGTAACCCCCTTTTCCTCTGAGCAGCCCAAAGTGAGAAAGATGTTAAATGTTTAGAAATTACTGTGAATATAATTTAATACTCTCCAGCTCAGAGTAAATAAACTACAACCATTTTAATGAATATATAATAAAAATAAACTCAAACACAGCAAGGATACAACAGTGAAAATGTGGTTTTATCTTTAATAAAGTTCCTTCATCTGTTTGTTATTTTTCATCTCTCACACAAACAGAACCAAGATTATTCCTGCAACAAACACCAGAGTTACTTTAGAAGAATATATCAGGAAGCTTTTGTTTTTCATTCATTTTTAAATTTAATTTATACTTTAGTTAAACATGCATCTACAGGCTTTGGAGACTTTGGAGTAACAGCAGTCTGGAGGTAAGTCAATTTAATGCTTTACCCATGAACTCAATTTGAAAGCGGATCTTGAAAACATGAGTCCATTTCTGCAGTTCCGGGTCAAATCTTAACTTTGCTCTTTATTTATTATTAATTCAGTTAAACTTGTTATTTAATCATAGTATTCTCACCATCAGGCATCATCTGAACTTTATGCAGCATCAACAGTGACAGGAAACGATAATGTAGCTGCACAGATATGAGCTGCCAACTGATTCTTTACGGTTCTTTTCTGACGGTTCTGGATCTATACCTTTGGTACATGTGTGATTATCTAGTAATGCATAGGGTGATAGTAAGGAGAAAAAAAAGAGCATCCCAGAAACCAGTGTGTGGGAATGTGGAGAGGCTACACAATGACATCATCCCATAAATATGTAAGGACATTTTGCTCCAAACACTTGATATTTATTATAATGTGTTCACACCGAAGTGTTAAAAATGTGCAAACCCAGAAATGTGGATTCTGGATTAGACTGTGGTCCAGCTGCTTTGCTGCTCGGCGCTCTGGTTCTTAATCTGCTCTGTTCTGTAGCTTCCAGCTACTTTATGAGTTGGAAAAATAGTTTGAACAGGTTTTTAAGTGAGAAAGTAAATCTCCAGACATCCTCTGATCCAGGGGCACCTCCAGGAATTTTGGGCCCCATGAAGGTCATTGATGTTGGGCCCATACAAAAAAAAAAAACTTTTAAACTGCTATAAAGATGCATTGATTTTTTTTCATGATCACTATGTAAAATGACACGCACGTGGCACTTAAGCCACGGTTCGAGCAAACCGCCGGTGACAGACAGGAGACCTGATGCGATGCAGGACATGGTTTTGGTAAATATATTCATGCTTTTTTTTGTTTATTGCTTGAAAAATAAGGGAGAACACAAAAAAAAATGGATTTCACTGCTGGAAATTATTTTTCTATTTGAAAAATATAGCGGGATACATTTTTTCTTCTTCTTTTGGGCCCCCCCTCAGTCAAGGGCCCTTAGAATCTTCCTAACCTCTTCCCCCCATACATTCCCTGCTCAGTTCATCAGTTCATCAGGATTATAATCTCACTATAATCTGCAGTTCTTGTTGGGAGCTCCAGACCTCCAGCATTCCGCCGGGAGGCAGTGCTGGAAATCCCCGCTGAAAGCTCTCTGCTCCAGGCAGCCTGTGGGGGATTTCCTGCTGCTGTTTATAGCGGCTGGAAGTCAATAGAAAGCGTTTTTAAGGTTTGTGGTAAAAACTGCAAGAACCAGAATATAATCCAATATTTTTCATCGGCAGGTTTTAACGTTTCTAGTTAATTTGGGTATTTTGAAACTGTTTCTCCATAGTTCATAAAAATGTTTTAGTGCAGCAATAATGATCAGAGCTGCTCTCTGTTCCTTCTACATAACAATCCATTCTACCTGCTTTATTTAACCTTTGGAGTTTAACTCCTTCATCATTTTCATTCTTCATATGCAGAATGTCTGCAGAAGCCATGACAGTTTGCAGGTAGAGTCTGTCTCCCCCAAAAAGTTACATTTTTTTAACTCCAGGGTCGAACGCTCCAAAGCCCGGACGCCAAAACGCATTGATGCACCTCTCCTGACGCTGGAACGCTGCTGCAACTCTTGATGCCGCAGCATGTAAATGAGACGCTTTGACGCACAGAGTGAACTGTTGGGTGGGGATGATGCCAGCGGCAGCGTTCACCAATAACCTGCTGGTGGAGACGATGTGAGCAAACCAGAAGTTTCACAGCAGGAAACAATCAGTCTGGTGTCAGTGGCTAAACAGACAAAACAATCCACATTTTCCCACCATCATCTGCAGCCAAATGAATCAAACAATGATAACATACTAATATTTTGTCATTTATATTATTCTATCTGCCTTTAGTTCAGTTCCTGGGATCTCTTCTCTCCTTGAAACATTACTGGAAGCAGTTATCTCCTCTTCTTCTAGAGTCTTCCCCTCCTGGTTCTGTTTGGGTCGGTTATCCAGCATGGTCTCCTCGTTGGGCTTCTGGCCTCCCTCCATCTGTGTCACCTTGCAGTCTCTAATGTCCTCCATCTCCATCATGTCATCCTTGTCTTGGCTGAGGTATGGTCTAGTCTCTGGTCCGCGGCTTCCTCTGCTCTGAGTCTCAGATTCAGCAGCTAAAGTCTCTTCCTGTCTTCTGACAGCTGGACTCTTTTCAGAGCCCTCCCCTTCCTGGTACACTGAGGAGACACTGTCTTTATCCACAGTGGTCGTTACAGAGAACTGCCTCTTGCTGTCAGGACTGACTTTAATCATGGTCACACTACTGATCCTCCCCCCTTTGGGGGAGGATGGGGACAATGGACTGGAGGGCGATGGAGGCAAATCTCTCAGTCTGTCTTTAAAACTCTGCTCAGAAGAAGAGGCTGGACCTCCTGGTGAAAGTGGAAACAGTTTAGGTGTTTTTAGGATTCCAGCCCTCTGTGTTTCCGTCTGTTCTTCTGTCTGTCTATCTACTTTCTGTCCATTTATAGAGAATGGACCAGGAAGGAGGCCTTCTTGGGTCGTAGATCTTACAGAAATCAAGCCAGATGAAGCTGAAGTTGGAGAAGAACACGGGGCTAGTGTTGCTAATGCTACGGTAATGTTTGGTAAGCTACTTTTGGGGCTTGGTGACTCTATGAGGGATGAGGTAGGCGTCTTTAAAGAGGACACTGAGGAAAAGCTTTTGTTTTGGAGAGAAGATGCAGGAGAAGAACCTAAGCTTATTAAAGCAGGGCCACCACCAACGGTTGGCTCCGGATCCGGGCTGGAACATGGGTCAGAGGAGGCTCTGACAGCCATAAAGTCCCTTTTGAAGTTGGACTTAGCAGTGGGCATGACTGAGCTGGATCCTGGAACCGGTGCAGGTATTGTGTCAATAGGGGTTGAAGTCTGTAGCGGTCCAGGATCTACCTTACTGTCCATATTCACAGATCTTTCGGTGGGGATGGGGAGGGAGGTAGGAGCTGAGGCTCCTGTGTTTGTCTTGTCTTGAAGGTCAGAGTTCAGCCCGAGGGTGAGGCCTTCCTGGGGAACAGAATCAGACTTGGAGGATGGTTTCAGAATGGAAGTTATAACTTCCCCCTGAGCGATATTCATCTTGGCGCCGGGTTTAGTGCAGCGCTCTGGATTGGCTGGTTCCTCTAGTACTACAGGTGGCCGCTGAACAGCAAATCTAACCCCCCGAGGATCTGCCCCCGCCCTCTCTTTAACTCTCAAACCTAAAGGATCACTGCCCCGCCTTAATCCAAATAAGGTCATACTTTTCTTTCTCTTCCCCACATTCGCCGCTACGCCATGGACTCCATCTGAAGCTGGTTGGACTTCTTTGAACATATTTTTCAGATTGAACCCGTCCTCCTTTATGTTGTCGCTATCTTGGGACTGGTCCAACTGCTCCCCCGAGGCAGCCAGTAGGTTTGGACGCCCCTGAAACTTCTTATCCGAATGTGTCACCCGGAATCTGAGGAGATAATTGTAGAGTTAAAAACGCTTGACATCAAAACTCCTGATGCTGATCTTAATAGAAGATTCAATTCTGCACTTTTACCTCCCGACAGAAAAAACAGTCTGCTCTCCTGGTTGCTGCTTGAAGCGGGGCGTCCTGCTTTGTCTGCGGCCCTTTTTGGCTCGAACCTGGGCGCAGAGGAGGCAGGAGTTGTGGTCGGTGCCTGAGTGCACCGTATGGAGATGGGGAGGAACACCACCAAGAGATTCCTTACGTAACCTGGAAGATCGTAGTGTCAGGTGTTAGCATTAGCATTAGGCCAGTTATATTGGTGAGGTTAAGAGTTAGGCTTAAAATGCTTCACACAAATTAAGTTGCTGAAGGACAGAAAAGGCAAAAACCAATAAATCCAAAGGTCAAAGTTCAGATGTTCCTTGAATGCTTGTAGCTCCTCCCCTTCGGGATGTTTGGAAGAAGCTTTGTTCTGATTCACATCTTGGCGAGTACAGCCTCGTAAAAGAGGTTTGAACATATCCTCTGATTTAATTCTTAATAAGCTAAATTGATAAAAAAAAAAAAAAAAAGGATTTAAAGTAACCCCCCTCTTGATTCAGCTATTTGTTTGTGGTCAGAGGAAGCAGTCGAATTGTTAATCTATAGATTGATCCTTTGTTAAATTGTAAAGGCTTCTGTAGAACTGGAGAGACATGCAGTTCAATTCTTCCAGCTGATTGAGTAAATCACCAAGTTTCACCTGCCTCCATGTTGAGCTGTTAGCCAATCACAGCAGCAGTATCAGCTGGATTTGATTTAGGGATTTAACTGATAAACCAAACTCTTTTAAACCAAATCCAGTTGGGAGGAACATGCAAACATCTCCTTATCCATCACAGCAAAAGTTACGTCTTTTGCTCATTTGTCTAAAGGAAATGGAGGCTATTCCAGCTAAAACCACAGCAGCTGTTGTGGGAAAATTTTATTGATCTCTGCAGCCCATTAAAATAAAGGGAGATCAATGGATTTCACTCAGTCAGCATTTTATTTTCTTTGTAAAGACAAAGAGAAGAAGACAGATCATGATGTTCTCCCTGTTCTAAACAGACAGTTTGTCTCTCACTAATTAAACCCCTACAGGACGGCTGTGAAGGTCTCCACTGATCTTTACCCAAACAAAGACACACAGCTTGGAAATAAAACATAATGTTATGAAATAATCCCTGAGAAACAGTCTAGCTTGTTATGAGAATTATTTAATTTATCCCTAATAAGATAAAAAAAAAAAAATAACCTTGTAGCCTTGCAGATCTGAGGCCTAATTGAATGAAACTTTTGAAATTTGAATGAAATTTTCAGAGATTTATTTTTTATTTTTTCCACCACAGCAGCCATGTTTGTTTTGCTTCAGCCGCTTCTGGTTGACATCAAACACGTCGCTGCGTTTCATTGGTGCATCGAGGTCAACGCATCCGTTAGCCCTTGGATACTTCAGAAATCTCTCGGCCATTAATGTTGCTTTCAAGGTCAATGATGAGTAAGAAGGCTGATCAAACATCATGTGTTCATCCAGCTGCTACCTTAAGCTGGAGCGGCTCTGTCAGCTCTAGTCTGCTTTAGAGACCGTTCAATGTGTCGTGGTTCTCCCCTTTTTTGGACTTTGAGTTTTTAGTTTTTACTGTTTCGTTGATCTTTGGTTTATTTTCCATTTTGTGTTATATTTAAGCTGCCTTTAGTTACTCTCTGCTGCCCCCTTGTGTCTGTCTCCTTTCCCCTAGCTCCCTTCTAGTCTCTTCCATCCACACCTGCTCCCTGTCAGCTGATCAGCCCAGTCTTTGTTCTGTCTCCCACATATACTCCTCCTGTGCGGTTCTTCAGTGCTGCTTCCTTGTTGATTGCTGTTGCTTCCTCGTCTCTGGTTCTCCACAGGAGTGTTCCCTGAAGTTAACTGATTTTTTTGATTCATTGGATTTGGGATTTTTGGATGTCTGCCCGTTTTTTCATTACACCAACAACAAATCATCTCTGCATTTGGGTCCTCAAGCAACTGCAGCCCCTAGTTGAAGGGGGGGGGGGGTCTTTATATCTTATAACTGAAGATAAAATGAACATTTATCATGTATCAGAAACGTCTCTACGGCTCCTCTTTTTATCTGTCATCACATCCTGATCATGTAGAAAACCCTTTAGGGTCTGAGGCAGGGAGCGATGGAGGGACAGGAGCTGATCTGCAGGTCAGACAGAGAACAGCGAGCTGCCAGAGACACTCTGAGCTGTTATAGAGGAGGAGAGACTGGGACCCTGATCCACCTGAGATTATGGAGAAGGATCCAGCTTTCAGGCATTTTACTAGCTGTGTCTGTTGTAGTAAAATAAGAAGCCTAACATTGTGAACTAAAATTATGATAAACCATTGCTTTTCATTTATATTTAAATTAACTATTAATTTTCAACTTTATCAGGTTTTTATGTTGCAAAGTTTTTTTCTCTGAAGAACCAGTTCTACACCAAGTCAGTCTACAGGAATCCACTTTAGACCAAAAACTAGGGCATAAAAATCATCTCTCTGACTCCTTCCTAACTAATCCATCCTCTAGACCTGCTCCTATAGTCACTCTATTACAGATGGAGTAATGTAACTAAAGTAATCCCTCCCTGGGATTATCAAAGTATTTCTGATTCCTGGTTGATGGGACAGGTGTTGTGAATGAAACGGTGCCCAGCTTGAAAGAGCTCCTGTGTGTCGCTGAATGTGAGCATTGATGACTGAAAGACATCTTCTGCCTCCATTGATCTGTTTACTACAGCCTGTTGAATTCATGTTAATGTGGATTTAAAGACATTTCAATTAGTGGAAAAAATTGCAGGGCGGAATATAAAAAAGGTCTAATCAACCAAAACTTTCGCGACCCCCATGCAGTACCTCTGTGGAACCCCTAGGGGTCGCGGACCCCCTGTTGAAGACTTCCACTCTAATCCTTAAACTGCCCTGCACTCTGAACCGCCTCCTCTGGGAGGCGACAGTGATTTAACCGTGACATTCAAGCTGAGGAACGTTTCAGAACAAACTAGATAGAATGAAGATAAATGTTTGCAGCTGGTGGGATCACACACTGAGCTAGTTTACGTCACTCTGAGCTACGGAAGCCTGAGCAGGACATTCCATCAACTAAACCCTAATGATTGTATCAGTAAACTTTCCAGTAGAAATTAACTCCTTCCTGTATTTCGTCTGGAAGCAGGGATTATTTATTTATCCATTAAAAAAAAAAATCAAACATCTTGTTATAAATCCTTAATAATATTATAAAACCATAATTAATGTGAAACGCTGAAGTGTTTGGTTTAAACTGGTGTTTCTGTGATTGTCTTTATCTTAGCTTTCACCTAAGCTCAGAGTTTCCCTGTATGTGCAGATCACAGATTATGGCTGAATGCTGACTGGACATCTCTGCTAGAAGCTGGATCCAGTGGATGGGCTTACCTTGGATCATGGCGAACGCAGACGCTGCGGTTTCCTAACATCTCATTGAAGGCCTCCATGTTGGCTGGAAGGGAAGAAGAACCTCAGTCACTGATGGCCTTGCCTCCTTTACTTGTCTCCTAGTCTGCAGCCATATGAAGCCTAACCATCAGGAGCAGTTATCAAACTTTGCTTACCTTCATTCTCCATGATGCATTTCAGGATCTGCTCCACTGTGTCCTGGTTCTCATCGTTCTCATCTAAACAGAGAAACCAGACACGAGGAAATAAACACCTCAATGTTTGACAACAACTGATGGAGTCATTCCAGAGCTTCTCTCCTTTCCGTCTGTGAGCACACGCCTGTTTACATGTGAGCAGCTGTGAATGGCAGCGAAGCACGTTTGTGTTTATCTCAGGAGGTTTAGTGACCCGTGAAAAGACGGAAAATCTGGATGGAGTGGAAATGAGAAAGGAGCCGGTCGGCCGCTCCCTGTGTGTTTGGTCAGAGCACGGTGGGAAACAGCCTGTATTTGTTGGTGCTGCTGGTAGAAAAGCCCCAAATGTATTAAAACTCCTGGGAAGGAGACCTGGGAAGCCCAGATTAATAATAGATAATCTCACACAGGCCCACAGCATCACTTCCAATTTCCAGCCTGCAGCTGCAGACCCATTCCTGGTGGTTCCCTGTGACACAGTGTCCTAGTTAAAGTCCCAGTAGGAGTTGGCCAGCAGCACGCAGGTGCATCAGCGATGAGAGATGATTTGTCTGTAGAGCTGGCGGGAAGGATTGTTGGCCTGATCGATGGCCTGATCTAACAGATTAAAACTGATCTTTTCTTAATGCGGCTGAAGCTTAAAGCTTTTCTAAATAAGCATTTAAATCAACCTTAAAGGCCAAATAATAAACTGGTTCAACAAACGAATCAGTTATGGCCTCTTCTTACAGAACATGACATCATAAGACACTCATACAGTATTACACTATAAAAATCCGATCTAAGAAATTATTAAAATCTTTACATTTGCTCCTAATTTGAGCAAAAAACTAAATGATCTGCAAAGGAAGGAAGGTTCTGGACCTTAAAACAGAATTAAATGAAACATAAGCCATCTTATTCCATCTGCAAACGGTCAAATAAATAAATTATATTTAACATTCTGCATTGTTAGTGCAGGGCCCTAACAGAGACCAGGACCGGTTCTAGAGCACCGGTTCTGGCCCCCATCTAGAGCTACCCATGGATAAACACTATAATGCAATATTAACAGTTATATATATGTTGTCCAACCCTGCTTATTAAAACAAGGAAACATCCAAATTTCACCAAACACCGATCATGTTCTTCTCACCATCAGCATCTTCCTCCAGCTTGTCCTCCTCGTCCTCCGGGTCTCCAGTCCTGCAGCGGTAGCCCGTCTTCTTCAGCAGATGGCAGATGAGGAAGCCCAGGAGTCCAGTTAAGAAGAAGAGGAAGACCACCAGGAAAATGATGTAGGAGGAGGGGGGCTCCCCCCCTGCCTCAGAGGCTTCCAGCTGCGTCATGATGAGGCTGAAACACAGAGGTTAGGCTGGTTAGCGCTGCAGCTAAATGCTATGTTCACACCAGGAGAAGAAGCTTCTGCTGCTTCATCTCTGATCCTCATTAAGGTCAGACGTCCAGTAAAGTGTATCCAGATGCTTCTGCTGCTTCTGTGTTCAATGCCAGAGAGCAGCTTTGCTATATTTGCTGTGATCAGCAGGTAAAAAGTAGTTAGAATATATGTTGAAGTGAGAAAGTCCTCCTGAAAACATGGTCTGTGCAGTCAGTTCATCCAGATTACCTTCCTGGGAGCCCCACATACCGGCGGTGCGCTGTCACTGGGAAACCCCAGCAGCAGCTGCCACACAATGGCAGCCCACTGCTCCCCATGGGGATAGGTTAAATTTCTCCAGTGTGAGATTAATAACGGTAAAATATTGCCGGCAGGTTTCTATATTCTAAGTTAATTTAGGCGTTAATAAACTGTTTGAGAGGAGTGATCATAGCGCTCTGCATCAGCAGTGCTGTGTCTGACTCCCTGCCAGCTCAGCTCCTGAAAAATAATAACCCCACAGCATCACCCCTCCTCCACCTAACGTTACACTGGGCTCAATAAAGTCTGACAAGAACCGTTCCCCTGGCAACCATCAAACCCAGACTGTGTCCCAAACCAGGGACAAAGCTGTTCTTCAGGGAGGTTAGTTGGACAAGTTTCACCTGTTGTTCCAGTGTGCTGGGGGCGGATGTCTTCAAATATAACCTTTAAGGTAAATAAAATGAGGTCAAAACACAGCTTAACCTGGGATGTCCTCTTCATCTACTTTAGATATATTTCAGAAACTTGAAACCTGCTGTAATGTCTGGATGTTTCAGGCTTGTGACGGCTGATGTTTAAAGTTTGCATGGAGTAATCTGTAAGTCAAACTGAAGCAGAATGTCAGTCAGCCCAGCTGTGAAATGAGATACGTGGACTGAACAGAGTAAAGCTCCCACACAGTGATGTTAGAACTGGGATTATAAGCAGTAAAAACTAAGTTAAAAGTTGCATTTTACAGAGAACGCCTGTTCTGGTCCCCAAACCTCCACACCTGAAGCCTGATCTTCAGAGGGTTTGCGTGTTTTTACCACCGCCGGGTCACATCAGGCCATCCCATAGAAAACGACCATCAGCTCACCTGAAAACCAGCTTACCTCCACAAACGCCATGACCAATAATCTGCCACCAAATCAGAACTCATAATTTTCCTTCTCTCGTTGTTTTCATTCTCTGACGTTCCTGTAAACGTTCTGCCCTGGAATAAACGGATCCTTTTATCCTTAACGCTCCACTGAAAACCAGGATCCAGTTAGATTTCCTTTCAAATAAAATCACGGGTCTCAATAATCCACAAAAGTTATTTTCCTTGGAAAAGAAAGATGTAAGGATGGAAACTACTACTGATTTTTGCCGCCATCTTTGATTATCTACGTTTACCTGGGCTAATTCACCATCCTGTTTGCTTCCAAAACCACGCTGAGTTCTCTTTGCAATATCCAGAAAACTTTCCAGTTAAAGTTTTTAGGCTCTAGTTGCCTTTATTTAGTTTTATTTTTTTAGAAGACAGGCAGGAAAATTGATCGGAGAGCGTGGAGGTCAAGCAGCAAAGGTCAACAGGAAGGGAATCCAACCTGCGTGGACTAAAGCCGTTGTAGAGGGGTTGGGTATAAACCCTGCACCACCGCCGTGCCTCAGTATCCAGAACACGTGTGCCTTAAAATCCCAAACCCGTCCCTGAACGCTACCCCTCAGCACTAACCCGGCGTTCCCATGGAGGCTTGGCCAACGGAAGTCCTCATAGAGGGTAGGACGAGCGCGCCGTCCAGCCCTCAGAGACGCGCTGGGGTCGGGCAGCGAATGTAATGGAAAACTAAAGGTGCTCAAATATAAGCTCCACTGCTTTGGGAAGGTCGATTGTGTTTTATTTGATCGTATACATTTATTTTTTAAGCAAACAATAGTTTGGTTCCATTCCAGCCCAGAAAAGCTATGGAAGCTAAAGCAGCACAAGATAGTTGGAGCCACTGAGGCTGTATGGTTAACATTCCTATCAGTTTCTCTGCATGTTAGGATTAGAAATAGAACTGCTAGAAATTGAACTCACACCTGCTGAATATAAAGCAGGTAACATGAGGTTGTCCTTATAGGAGGTCCTTATAAGCTGTACCACAGAGCCACAGCCATACACGGGGTGTTGCTATGTTTCCAACGGCTACTTTCCTTCTCGGATGGAGGGCAGAGGGCGTCCCATTCTCCAACTTTAGCAGGAGGTGCGGAGCTTAGGGGGCGGACTGGGGTTGGGCTTCTGTAGCTGGAAAGGTTGACTGATGCATTTTTTTAGCCAATAAGGGGAGCTTTCCCATGAAGTACTGGTAAGCCAAAGTCTGAAATCTGAACATTGAAATCACCATAAAACAAAGTGCTGGAATGTTAAAATTAATACTTATGGTTTATCATGTAAAGCACTGGTAATTTACTTTATGGTAATTTGGCTTTGTTGGAATACTTATGTATAAGATACTTAATGTTTGTTCTTATGATGTATAATGTGTGACATATTACTATTCCAGAGAGGTGTTGCACAAGCAGTATAGGTCAACTCTCAGGAAGTATTGCTCAAGCTTAAAAAAACCAGTAGGTTCTCGGACCATTTGACCGCAAGACATTTAAATGCAAATTGACCTGTTCACTGAGGCTGTAAAATTGAATTGTATTTCTTGTTTCCTATTCCTTTAGGGCAACCTCAGCTTGTGTAACTAGGGAGCCCCCCTCTGACTTTAATAAATAGCGAGGAGAAAGCTGAAGACCGGCAGAGTGGGGTGGAGATGTACCTGCACGGTCTCTTCCTACTCTCCTGGCGAGTAAAAAGAATTCTGACTCTGTGCCTTTCTTTCCTTGTTTTACAGTGTTTTAGGTGTTAGACCTGACAGGATTTTATGTTTTTTTTTCTTTTTATTAAACTTTATGAACTGTTTTTAACCCCCCACTGTAGCACTTTGATATTTTATTTGAACTGTAAAGTGCATCATAAATAAATGTATTATGCTTATAAAGCTGGAAATGTGTTTTTATTGTCTAATTAGTCATAAAATCCAAATAATCCAGTTTGATACCTAATTTGAATTAATTGTGCAGAAATGACCTTTTCTGTACTAAAAGGATCAGAGTTTTACACCCCTCATGAGCCAAGGTCTGAAATTTCACAAAGTTGATGTCCACAACATGAACAAGTGGAGACAGTTGGAGAGGTCAGCTATGAAAAACACCTGAGATAAGGGATGTTAACACATGCATTTTATACGCAAAGGAAAAGATTATTTTAAACGTTTTTGAAGCCACAAAGTAAGACTTACAGAGTTTGTTCAAACAGAAACTAGAAGATCTTAGCCTTCTAATGAGATGCATCACAAGCATGATGGATTTCTATTATTATCTAACTGGCCAATGGCGTTTGGATCTGTGGTTTGTTCTAAAAAGATAAGAGCTAAGGGGTTAAAATAGGTGGAGAGCTTCAAAGGTGTGTTTGCAATTCAGCTGACAGAGTAAAAACTGCTTCACACAGATCATATATCTGCAGTCACTGTTTCCACTAAGGAGGCATTGCTTTGATGAATGACGATGGAGGGAGATTCAGAACGCATGGGACATCAGAAATAAGACTAGCAGAATAAAAGCAATAAAGAAGAAAAACGTTTTCAGACCATAATGATGCGGAAAAGCCACCAATGATGAAACCAAAGGAAGAGAAAAGATTCCTGAACTGAAATGTAGTGGCGTGGCGTGTTTATGACGGCCCGTCTGCCTGCTAGTTATCTGTTCAGTTCTTAAGAAATGGTGGCAATCTGCTGCTGCTGCTGGAGATAAATCCAGATGTTTTCAGCAGCATCGGCTCTTAGCAGACAAAAATAACTAATATTTCACTTTAACTTTAGTTTTTTCATCATTGCATTTTTCTTCATATGTTTGTAAATTGGCTCCCTTTTCCGGTGCATTATAAATATAATTTAGATTTATTATTACAATGTTTTAATTAATTTTTAATACTACCTTCTAGTACATGGCTTAGAACCTCTTATTTATTTTATGGCCGCTCTCTACTGCCTGAAGAAAACACAATCTGCTCATTTTAATGGGCTGAAACTAACAGCTGTACCGGTAATTTATAGAAACCTGTCCTCTATTTCCTCCTATGAAACAGGTCGGAATGTTAAACAGAAAGGAAAGTAATATCAGGTAAAACATTTGGGGGAAAACATAGATAACAGGGAGGAGTAAAGATGTTTCTGTTGAACAGAAACTCATTGTAAACTGTAAAAGGGGGGCACACACTTAGAGGGAGTCTGGGAGCCTCTGGGAGCCTCTGGGAGCCTCTGGGTATCTGAACATTAGCAACGTCAGGAAATGTAAACAGGCTTTAAAGCGTTTGCAGTCAGATTCTCCTTTCTCCATCAGAAAAGTAGAACTCAATTTCTTCTCATGTTTCTGCATAAGCAAACAAATAGATCCTTCTTACCGATTTTACAGTCTGCTTACAGTAGCCACTAGTGATGGTCAGACAGGCCAAGAGGACGACAGCAGAACATCCAGGGAGGTTTGGTCCATGCTGAAGGAGTAATTAGCCAGAAATGTAACAGTGAGCCCAGCAGCAGAGGGCTCCCCTCAGCCCCACCTTTCCTCTCTATCTCCACTCATAGAGGCACAAGGTCAGCGGGACGGAGGAAAACAGAGAATGAAAGCAGCTATTGGAAAACCTGGCGTCTAAACATAAGGAGAATTAAGATTGAACCGAAGCCGAGTTCTACTTCCTGTTGCAGTGCAACTAAACATGTAGGGAAGCAGCCTGCATGAACTTATCGTTGTTGTCCTGCAGGTCTCTTATCTGCATTAAATACCCCCCCACACACACACACACAGAGTCATTTATCAGCACTTGTTCCCCCTGAAATGTCCTCGGGGCGGCTAAACAGTTGATAGCACATATCATCAGCAACCA